TAGCTGCTTTTAATCAGTTTTTACCTTTTAAAAAAGGTTTATATGGCTCAGCAGTTGTACAAACAGCTGAGCAGCCACACACACAGTATTTGTTTGATGCTGTGTAACATAATTACAGTTAAGCATGTAACTATGTGCCTGTCTCTATTTTGTGGTTACGCTGTATAATTTTACATTGTTATAAATTAAATTCTCATAAAACTACAATAAATGCACATTAATGTTTACAGATAATCTGTAATTTTAATGTCAGCTGATGGTCTTTCACAGCTGACAGGAGATTTATTATACCATGAAATTTCAGTCAAGCCACACTTAAACTGTGCCCTGTTTTTAAAACTCTGCATTGGAGGGTTTTTTTTTTTTTAAAGGCACTTTTTTAAGCTGAAAATTAATTTAAAGTGGTAAAATATCTGGAATGAGACAGTCCAAAAATAATTAGCATTTTCCATTTTATTTTAAATCACCACCAAATTGTAAGGAAATAAAACCCGTGTTTTTGTGCTTTTCAGGGCTGGGGTGCAGAGTACCACCGCCAAGATGTGACCAGCACACCCTGCTGGATTGAGATTCACCTGCACGGCCCCCTGCAGTGGTTGGATAAGGTGCTGACTCAGATGGGCTCCCCTCACAACCCCATATCCTCCGTCTCCTAGGCTTCACTGTGCTCGGCACTGTGGATGTCCATACCCCAGCATTTTGATTTAAGTAGCAGGAACAGGGGTTAGCTGGTGCCAGACTGGTTTGTGTTTGTGTCAGACTGAAGTTTTGACTGAAACACAAACTGATCCGGGACTTTGAGGTTAGGCGGGTTGTTAAATGGGTTTGTTCTCTACTTGAAGGATGTCTGAATTGGGCACATTTACAGACTGGGAGAGGAGTTAGCAAGGTGAGCGTGATGCAACTGGAAGATACTTGATCTCTGTGACCAACTGTAATAATTAGACCATCATACTCATATTGATGCAAGTATCCTCTTTGATCTTGCTCCCGCAACATTTTTTTCCCATCTTTCTACTATTCTGACTCATAACTAGTTTGCATCTAATTCTTCCCTCGGAAATCCTGATATACACATGTAGTCACAATAATTATGGGACATTCCAGGTCACCGAAATGCAGTTGGTTTCTGTTTTCTGTCCAACTGCAGTCAGGTTGGCATGAAATGTGCTTCTGAAATGTAAAGCAGGAAAATTTTCATCTCCCGATATCTAAAGAAGTGTGCTGGGTTGTCAAAATGTTTCTTAGATTATAATAAGTGAGAGCAGTTAAAGTTATCTGTATAACAGCAACATAAAATCCACTATTACAAGTAGAAGAATAATATGAGGGCAAAATTTAGGGCCATTTGAGCATTTAGTGTAGGATTTAGTGTGGTGCATGGCACTCAAAGGGCATTTCAGACATAAACAGTTTAAAGTGTTGCTCATCTTGTGTTTCAAATGAATTTTAAGAGGAAAAAACAGATAGTGTTTAGATATATTCACTATTAGATTATGTGCTGTGCAGTCTGGTTTTGCAAAGCCTAGTTTGGTTAGTGTAGTGTTACACATTTAAGACTGGTAGCTGAACATGAATTGAAGCGGAGGCAAACACAAGTACAGTGTAGTTTGTCCCCTGCTGTATTCTCTGCAGCTGAATCTGATGTGTCATGCAGAGTCGAGTCGCATTGAGGACATTAATATTTCAGTGACTGCGCCTCATCATCTTATTACATTGAGCAAAACGTGTTAAATGACTGTTATGGGAAAAAGTTGAGTATTCAGATTTTAATCATGACTGAGCAAAAGGGTGTCACCTACTGACTTCCCCAAATCATTTTCTTTTAATAAAATGCAGATTTTTGCCATTCAGTTATTTTTATGCTTTGAGCAATCCTGTTTGCTGTAAAACTATTGTACTCTTTACATTCTTTTTGTATTTTTTGAACATTTTTAGTTTTGTTTGCACTTTCACATGTTGCCTCTTTGTTTTGGTTTTATTTTGTTTTCGCTTCCTCTGTCTGGTTTGCTCAGTAAAAACTCCCAGAAAAGCAGTTTTATTCCATGAATATCAAGTCTCTACTGGAAGAGTCAATAAATTTGTTTCATTACTTGCAATATTTCTGTCTCTTTCATGACCACTGTCTCTGCATGTTTGTCTTTGTGTGACTTGGTTTAATTACAGGCCACCCATGCTAAGAAAATACACATCATGTATTGTTGGGGACTTTCTGTGTGCGTGTGTGTGTGTTCAAGGTTCTTTATTTGTCACATGCATAGTTATACAAGTATAACACACAGTGAAATGTAGCCTGACATGCTTCTCGACATGTGCAAAAATGGGGGGGTAGAGGAAGATAGATAGATATAGATATATATAGATAGATATATAGACACACACACTGGGTGAATGTGCAGTAGTAGCAGCAAGCAGGTGAATTCTGTACATTAATATGAATAGACATCGGACTATTTTACAGGATAGACAATATAAACATATTTAAAATTAAAGGAATTGAAATGTACATTGTGCCTTGGTTTAGTGTCTGGAAGAGTCCTGACTCAGTCAATTATAGATGATGTGAGAGGGTGGGTGTGTGTTTAGGGCCCGGATGGCTTGGGGATAGAAGCTCCTCTTGAGTCTCTCTGTCCTTGCCCGGAAGATGCGGAACCTTCTACCAGATTGCAGAAGTTGGAACAGTTTGTTGCCAGGATGGGACGGGTCCTTCAGTATCTGCGCTGCTCTAGTCCGGCATCTCCTGGTGTAGGTGTCCTGAAGCGGGGGGAGAGCAATCCTGCAGCAGCGTTCTGCTGTACGGATCACTCTCTGGAGAGCTTTTTGGTCCTTCACACAGCTGTTCCCAAACCACGATGTCATGTTCTGTGTGAGGATGCTCTCCACAGCGCCTGTATAGAAAATCCTGAGGATCTTTGGAGAGACCCTGAGCTTCCTCAGTTGTAGGTGATACAGGCGCTGCCTAGCCTTTTTGGTCTGGACCTGAATGTGGGCAGACCATGTCAGGTCTGAGGAGATGTGGACACCGAGATACTTGAAGGACTGCACCCTCTCCACTGGAGCTCCATTGATGATAATGGGCTTGTAGTCTCTGTGCTGACTCCTTCTGAAGTCCACCACCAGCTCCTTGGTCTTGCTGACGTTCAGCTGGAGGTGATTGTCCTGGCACCACGATGCCAGATTCTTCACTTCATCCTGTACTTCACACAAGTACACCGTGTGCCTGTACTTGTGTAGGGACATAAATTGTTGCACCCAGTCAGATTCTGGGGACAAACTGCAATTCCCCTCATTAATTAGGTTTTTAATGAGTAGACTTGGTTTAAGGTAAGAGTCAAGTGGGAAATGAATGCAAGTCACTGTAATGCCCTCTGAAGTGATGGAAGAGCTCCTCCTGTGTTTGTATGTATATTTGGAAGTAGACCTTCAATTAGAAACGCACAATTACAAGAGCATGCCAAAGCCAACTGCACCAGTGTTAAGCATAATTGCATTTTCAAGTAAATTGCATGGAAATGCATAAAATACCCCCCCAACACACACAAACACACTTTAAAAAAAAAAAAAAAAAAGACATGTTGTGATGGCACTGTAACAACCTTCAAAGGTCTTCTGGAAGTTGGTGAGTGGATGGTTTGAGTGTAGCAGTTTCATTTGACTTTGTGATGTGGGTGGCATGGTTGCAGTGTGGTTAGTGCTGCCGCCTCCCACAAGGCTGCATGTTTCCCGTAGGCTGCTCAGACGAGCATGTCAGGTGGAATAATCCCAGTGTTTTACTAGCCTGACTGTCTCAGGCCTGCAGTGTACTCAGAATAAAACTGAGTCTATTCCTCATGTGATTGACATACAGCATACATACAACACTGTTTACAAAACTGAATTTAAAGCACCACAACATACAGGCCATAAATGGCATTGTATAAATTATTATTGCTATATTTGAGCCAAACAGGAAAACTTGTTTTACTGTAGACCTCAAAAAACAGCAGGGATAAAATAATAGTTGTTTGTTTATTATAAGATATATTTTTATAGATTATTTTCTCTGTAATTGTTGTTTTGTTTCTCACTGGTCTCCAGCTCCTGTTACTGTGCTACATGTTTCCAAGTATTCAACACATCTTAGTTGTTTTAAGGCTTTTTGAACCAGCTTCTCCAGTCCCCCTTTAATTGATTCTTTTTACCAGTAAAATGATAACAAATTGCTGTTTGTGATCAAATCAATTTAAAAAGGGACTTTTTTAAATGAGTTGTCATTACTTTCACGTATGGTCCACTATTCAAGCTCCAGCAGCACAGTGAAGCATTCTAATGAGGTTCATACTGAATTCAGCTAGTTCTTTCCAGAGTACAATAAGTACAATCTTTGCACAACTTTAATAATGGTGGAAGCCCCATATTCACCATCCTTTGTCAAGTGTTTCCACTATCTCTTCTCTGCACATGTCCAAAACATCTCAGCCTTGCTTCCCAAAATTTCCTCCCAAGATCCATAGCTACCAGTTAGGTGATCCCTGTTTAATAAGGGAGTTGTTTAAAATTAAATGAATAAATGATTGGACAATCTAAATAAAGCCAAGCTGAAAATAAGTTTAGTACTTTTTGCTGTAAGGGAAAAAATGGTGGTGTTGCTCACACCCTGAAGCAGACTGCTCCAAAGCCTGGGCCACAGTAATTAAAGACTCGATCCATGCCAGAAATACTGACTAATTTAAAGTGGCACAGGACGCGGAACACATGCATGTATTATCAAGTTTGATTTTTTTAGTTTTTTTTTTTTTTTTAAGGAAATTAACCCTGAAGTTGATAAGATGTGAAGGTTAACATCTGCTGCCACCTGCTGGCTAAAATGGCCAACTGCCATATTTAAATGTTCATTTAACTACTTTCGTCTGTTATTAAAAAACACACACACAAAGAAAAAAAGTAACGAATCGCACATTTAAACTTCTGTGGCAGATTTTAGATGTATTTGGGAAACGTTTTACTTTCCAAATAAACCGACGGAAATACTGCGGTGGGCGGTGTCAGACGTCAACGGAAACGGAAGTGAATGAATGAAACGATGGCGATAGGTAACCTGTAACGTCTCCGTGCAACTGGGACGAGGTCAGAGTGAGTTTAGTTTTCACACTTTGTGGCTATTTTGTCCAAACTACGTCTTTAACAACTGCCTTCAACGAGTACATTACGTGCTGACGTTAGAAAGAATACACATTAGCCTGACGGTGACTATTATAACTGCTGTAACGGTGACGTTTGTAAGCACCTCAGCTGGAAGTACCGCTGGATAACTGTAAGCCTGTACGCCCTCCCAGACCCCCCTACCTTTGACACACAATGAGACAGTTTAGCCTCGCTCTCCTCCGCCACATCTCCTCATCCACTGCCCCCGCACTCACCGGGACGTGCCGCCTTCACAGTTGGCACTGCTTCACTGCTTCACGCCCTCAGTACCGGAGCATCGTCCCGCCTCACAGCTGCCAGCACACACGGACTGAAAGCGCAGCAGCCAGCCAGCACATACAGGACCTGAGTGGGCCTGAGCAGAGACTGCTGAATAAACTTTATGACGGGCTGATCGGAGGACAGCGGGCGTCTTTGGCAGAGTGCATCACTTTGGTGGAGACCCAGCATCCCAGAAAGAAAGAGCTGGCCCAGGTGCTGCTGCAGAGGGTCCTGGCTTACAGGAGGGAGCAGGAGAGCCGCAATGGAGGGAAGCCAGTGGCCTTCAGAGTAGGTGTGTAGGCTTAAGTCTGTGGCGGTTGTCTGAACTCAGTTTTTCTTGTCTCTAAGTGTCTTTGAACCTAAAATGTATTAAAATAAGTACATTTAAACTAAGGCTACTGCCATTGTATCCGCATTATAACCTACAGATCACAGTGGAGCTATAAGACACGAAACCTTCATATGAAGACTATTTTACAACTGCTGTTGTAAAATAGTTTCTCATAAAATAGTTTCTCATTTCACACTTCTTTTACGATAAAAAACAAAGTCACAGCCAGTAAATATGTCCTAATGCTGAAATCCCCACCACAAGGATAGTGGTGCAATTTCCGGGGGGGATGAATTCTCTGAAATTTTCAGGCTTTGCAAAGATTGCAGTGGGCTTATTTGGACCCTTTTGTGTTTTAGTTCGGCCCCCAGGGCCTTATGTTTAACACACCTTGTAGTATAAACACGTCACCTCTGCCATGAATCCTTCATCAGACGGTTTCTGCAGCAGTGGCTCCGATGTTCTATGTGGTGCAAAGAAACAGTCACATAAATTTGCATTCAGATTTCTTCAGACTTGACCCCAAAGTGAAGTGTGTTTAACAAAAAAAAAAAAAAGAGTTTAACATTTTTACATTTTAAACTCTGAGCTTTAAAAGCAGAAAGTAGAAACAATATTGTGTAGTTACTTTAGCACATAAATTTAAATTAGGTTAGTAGAAATCAGCTCTTGGAGCTGTTTGGTGCCATCCATTACAGTTTAACCTCCCTCCCACAAGAATCATGACTACCGTTTTTATGCAGATGATCCACAGTTGTACTTGTAACTTTCCTCTAATGATCTAACCTCTGTTCACAAACTAATAAGCTGCATTAATGACCTTAACTGGTGGATGTCTTAAAACCTTTTAAACTGAGCAGAGACGAGACAGAAATACTTGTCCAAAAAAGTCAGAGACAAAAAAACCTGTTCATATTTATCATTCATTTCTCTTCACACAGTGAACAAGTCAGGCATCATTTTGGACAGTGATCTCACTTTTGATAACCAGATCAATAAGGTTACCTGTCACTTAAAAGTATATCTAAGGTTAGAAATTACAATTTCAGACTGACTCCGTGCATTCATATCACAAAGGTTAGATTATTTTAACACTCAAATCATCAATGGGCCGTCTTCAGCTTATCCAAAACACAGCAGCCAGAATCCTTACAGGTACATGGAAATTTGACCACATTATCCCAGTATTGAAGACCACTTCATTGGCTCTCATTACCATATAAAATCACTTCTGTATGTTCACAAAGTTCTCAATGGTTTGGCCTTCCAGTACATATCTGACAACCAAGTCAGACCTCTTAGGTCATCAGGTTCTTTTAACTGGTTCCACAATCAGATCCAAGTAACCTGAAGGGTTCAGTTACTGTGCTCTGCGTCTTTGGAACAAGCTGCGTGCTCACTTGAGATCAATTACATCTGTGCGTACATTCAATAACCGACTGATGTAATGGAATGTGCTACGTAAATAAGTGTCATCGTCACTGTTTGTTGCAAACTGATGAGATCTCTTTGATTTCTCAGGTCTGTCTGGACCCCCCGGAGCAGGAAAGTCCTCCTTCATCGAGGTGGTGGGGAAGATGCTTACAGGACGTGGACATAAAGTTGCAGTGCTGGCTGTCGACCCATCCTCCTGCACCACTGGGGGTAACCGCTGACACGTTCATCATCTGCTTTTACTGTGATACAGATGAACTATTATTATTTTGAGCTTTACAGCGCACAGGGAAATTTTATGTAATGTTTAAAGATGCTGGATTTAGGTTCAGGGAATATTGTGCTGTTTATGTTTGGCTGTATTAAAGTGCTTTTCCTGATTTGTGTAGAAACATACGATGACGGAGATAAATGTTCATATCGGTCAAAGTTTCAAATAACGAGGTATGTTGACTGTTCCTTTCTGCTCTTGGTGTAAAGTCACTGAGCAGGGATCTCTTTATCACGACCATTTCAGGTGCAGAGCCCCGCCCACCTGCTGTTCAAAATTGTTTGCAAAGGGCAGCAGAAAGTTGTCTACCACAGGTGGTGGCCTTAAAGAGAGAGAAGTTAAAACTGCTTGCTTTAAACCATTTATTTTCCATAAATGAATCAGGCTATTTTTATTTGAGAGAATATAAAATATAGAGCAGGAAACAAGCAGAATAGGTCCCCTTTGAATAGGCTGAAATCACTGAGTAATTACAAGCAGCACTGCACAGTAAAACTGCTGCCAAGTGACTCATCCCTCTTGCTGCAGGGTCTCTGATGGGCGATAAGACTCGTATGACTGAGCTCTCAAGAGACATGAACGCCTTCATCAGGCCATCGCCGACCTCGGGAACACTCGGAGGTGTCACCAGAACAACCAACGAGGCCATTGTTCTCTGCGAGGGAGCAGGTTACGACATCGTCCTTGTGGAGACTGTAGGTAAGATGCTGTGACGCGAACCCTCGGAGTAAGCGTGTTAAAGCCATAATCTCAGCAAGTATTTGTTCTTCTGCTTGTACTAAGATTTTTTTTGTTTTTAATGCAAACATAATTTGTTCAATTTGTTCAGTGTGATGTCTGATAGCAGCGCCAGTCATCAGGCACCTGCTCTGCATCTCCAGGCTAAAATGTATTCACTGTGAGCGCTCTGAAGTTTGTGAAAGCTCATGATTATTCATCAGCTTTCATGATGTTTGAATGACTGAGCAAGTCCTCACCAGGACCAGCTTTCCTTTAAATTCTTTAGATTTTCAGACAACGCAAACGCAGGCAAATATTTAGTGTGACTGTTGGATGTATCGTTTGAAAAGCTTTAGTTTCAGATGAGAGGATACTGTGTCGTATCAAACTTTGTCGTGTTATCAGTCAGCAGTGATCGTTAAACTAGTCCTCTGTTTTGTCATCTTTCTGCTTTTTTTGTTTTTCCTCCAGGAGTCGGCCAGTCAGAGTTCGCAGTGGCAGACATGGTTGACATGTTTGTGTTGCTGATTCCACCAGCAGGGGGCGATGAACTCCAGGTCAGTGAAAACAAGCGTGCTTCAGCTCATCTGTGGAGCTGGAACAAAGTAATCGACCAGTAAAATTTAGTCATTGTTAATTTCGTGCTAATGTGTAGGGGAATAAAACCAGTTTTTGATTGAGCTGCTGTCATTTATCAGCCGCTGATTATCTGATATCAACGATCTTTAAATTCATCAGAATTATAAAACCTAAACTAAATTACCTGATGAATATATTTATGAAGCACTGTTTATAAGCAAAAGCAGATTGTGTGTCCACGTTTTTTTTGTAAAGATAAACATGCTCACAATAAGTATATGCTCGCCACTTAATTAATTAGGAAAATTATTCACTTCATTAGCCTTCCTCATGATGATTAATGCTACAGGGATTATGGTGGGACAGTAGGTAGCTGAAGTGGCATTTGTTTTAATTATAATAACTAGGGATGGGTATCGTTTAGGTTTTATCCGATACCAGTGCCAAATCGGTACTTTTGAAACGGTGCCGGTGCTTAAACGGTGCTCGAACCGGTGCTTAAAGAATGGAGAACACAAAATTGGTCCAAAAACCTCTCATGTTCAGCTGGTTCACCAGGCCATCAGACTGCTGAACACGTCATAGACACCTCAGCTTCACTACTGGAACTTTAACATTATGCACTCCATACTGTACAGTAATGCCACTGTTTTGCACATGTCTCAACTCTGTATATTTTATATATTTTATTTATTGTTTACTCTATTTAATTTGTAAAATATGTGTACACACACACACACACACACGTAGGAAAATATTTACTATACACATCCAGAAATGCATATACTATTATATATTGTATATATATTTATTAGTTTCAGATGTAGCCATTCTTGTATTTTGCTTGTTTACATTATTGTATTTTGCACAACTCTGTTGCTTGTGAAGCTCGCACACAAGAATTTCACTCACATGTGCTGTACCAATGTACCTGCACATGTGATGTGACAATAAAAGTGATTTGATTTGGTTTTTGTAAAAAGATAACAATGTTAGCCTTTTCTGCAGCTATGGGGCATATATGGTATCACTCTTGGCTGGAAGCAGTGCTTAATCAATGGAAAAAACACAAACTTTGTCCAAAACCTCTCATGTTTAGCTGTTTCCCTCTTTTTCTTTGGTCATTTGAGCCTTTTTGGCCAGGGTGAAGGGAGCATCTGCCATCAAACAAGAAGACAGCCGCATGTAGCTATGATGATGTTTGCTAGTTCACCTTACATGCATTAATGTAATAACGTGGTTAGCCTACTCAATGTAAACTACTCACGCAGAGAAGAACGGCTGCTGCTGCCTTCATCATCCGTCATCATTTCTGCTACACTGGCAGGGCTAGGGGCCAGGACTCTCCTCTTCGTATTTTTGGGTATGTTGCTAACTCCGGGTCCGATAACAGGCACCACACCGCAGTAGATGCGCTCGGTGTGAGGTCTCGCAGCAAGCTATCAAATACGGCGCATTTCTTGGTTTTTGGAGAAAAAAAAACGCTATGCGTCGCCAGGTGTTTCATCGGATTTGAGGTGTTACCTCCTTTGACAGTATCACAGTATCAGCTTAAAGCACTTGTTGCTGCTGAGTTTGCATCTTTTGCTGTGAAGTACAGCCAGACTTTTGACCGCTTCGCCTTGGACATTTTTAATCTGTAGCTCTGCATAAAAGAACGTACGTACCTGGCCCCGCCTACTATCCTCGGAAACGTAAAATGATTGGCTAGAATCTAAAGTGTATCACAGCTCAGGGAAAAAAAGCACCGAAATAAAGCACCGAAATGTGCGCTGCTTTTCGGTCTGGTTACTACCGTTTATGTCAGATGGCACCGGACACCGGTACCCATCCCTAATAATAACTATTGGTAATGTGGAAACACTCGGACATGAACACATGAGGAAAGCAGCACGCTTGAAAATTCATTCCAGTAAATTAGTGCTTAATAATCAACCTGTGTTACTCAGAGTCAAAATGTACAGTTAGCTCATGGTCTACACATACCACCGTATATTTTTATATGGGATTATTTGAGCTAATCATAGAAAACCTAACTATATCAGAGGTGTTGTAATGTGCAAAGGTCTCATTTCTTTAAGTGGTCATGAGCAATATTTCTCCAGGCTTTCTGAAGGACTTTCAAAGTTTTCCTTTGCTTTTTCAGTCCAGTTCTCATACCTGGGGTTAGGGTTAAGGGTCGGCCATTTACTTTAGCACAGTTCTGTACAGAAAGAAAATATTTCTACAATTCGATTCCATCTATCTTTGGATATCGACTGCAAAAATCAGCCATGTTGAATGGAAAGAAAGTCTTAAGACTTTTAAAGTCTCAGGCTTGAAAACACTTGACCGCAGCTCCGTGCAGGAGCCTTGAGGAGCTCAGGCATCAGGCAGCGTTTTCATCGTTTAATCATCCTCCTCTCTAATGACAAAATCTCTGTTCAGGGCATCAAGAGGGGCATAATCGAAAGGGCCGAGTTGGTCGTGGTGACAAAGTCAGACGGAGACCTGGTGGTGCCGGCCAGGAGGATCCAGGCTGAATACACCAGCGCACTCAAACTGCTCAGGAGACAGTCCAAATCCTGGAACCCTAAGGTGTGTGTGTGTAGTGATGTAATGATGCAAGAAGTCGGTAACAAGGATTTGGTGGTGTTTGGTGTTTGCTCTGCTGGGCAGCTGCAGCACATGGACCCAACAAGATATCCCACAGAGAGGTCAGCTGACCCAGGAGGAGGAGGAGTGTGGGGGTGGGTCATCATAACATCACGGCATTAGTGCTGCAGTGTCCCACCTCACCCGCTCGCCTGGCTAGCCCTGTCCCTTTGTTTTCCCAGCCCAGTGCTGCATCTGCCCACCGGGCAAGCAGCCAGGAAGCACCCCCACCTACTAGTCCTTATTACCCCCACCCCCCGCTCCCAATGCACTGGATACTCGGCTGCTGCGTCATGCATTTCACTGATTAGAAAAGTGCTTGTTCTCATAAAATCTGATAGGCTTCTCTTACAGCTCCTCTCTCTTTATGCTTCACGCTCGGCTTTGTTGTGCATATTCGTGTCTGTTTCCCGACTGTATGGCAGAGATGTAGTCTCTTGCTCTGCTTTGCAAAAGGTAAATGGTCCCAGAGTTGAGAAGCACGACGGGGCGTCTTTAAATTTAATCTTTGTTGTCCATCCAACAACCCAAAACCCCCAAAGACTGATTACACTGATGTCAGAAAAAAAATGGCAGATTTTGGACAGTGAAACTAGAAAAGGGTTTTAGACATGTTGCTTAAAAAACGATTACATTCATATACACAGTGCATGCACATCATGAATTAACTGTGATTAATCACATTTTTGGAAACCTGTGCTTAGTTTTACTAGTCACACCCAGCGCTGGTTATTCCCAGACTGGCTGCATCAAGAAATCACTTAAACAGACTCTGTATGATAAAGTGAAGCCGGCTAAAAGATCTCAAAGAGCAACACAATCTAAAGAAACTAAAAACAGCTGAGAGATAAATTCGTTGATATCTATTAGTCTGGAAAGAGTTACAAAACTGTTTATAAGGCTTCAGGACTTATAACCACAGTGAGAGCCATTATTCACAAATGGAGAAAACTTGGAACAGTGGTGAACCTTTCCAGGAGTGACCAAAATCACTCCAAGAGCTCATCGAGGACTCAGCCAGGAGGTCACAGAACAACATTCGGAGAACCGCAGGCCTCACGTCTCAGTTCATGTCAGAGTTCATGATTCAACATGAGTCTGGGCAAAAAAGGCAACCATGAGAGAGTTCAAGGTGAAAACCACTGCTGACACAAAAAGAACACAACGTCTCACATCGCTGCATTGTCGAAGTCTCAAATCCAAGTGAGATTCTTTGGCGTGACCTTAAAAAGGCTCAAAAACCCTGCAATGTGTCTGAATTAAAACAACACTGCAAATAAGAGTGAGACGAAATTCCTCCACAGCGATGTGAAAGACTCATCGCCAGTTATTACAAACACTTGATTGCGGCTCTTACTACCAAGCCAGGATCAACCAGTTATCAGGTTTAGGGGGCAAATAGTTTATCACATAGGGCCGCACAGGTTTGGACTTTTTTCCCATCTAATAAACAAAATCATCGCTTACAAACTGCATATTGTATTTACTCAGGTTATCCTCGTCTAATAATAAAATGTGTTTTATGATCTAAATAATGCAGGTTTGACAAATATACAAAAAAAATTAGAAATCAGGAACACTATGATTTTATGTCTCTGATTTTATTTTGGTGCTTTTAGATTTAAATGTTGTTTCAGATGAGCTTTTTGTAACTTCACAGCACTTCTAATATTGGGTTTGTAAGATTAGATAAATTAATCTTGATTTCAGTTTGAGCTTCAAGGCTACTTTATTGTAAATCCAGGAGACGGACAGACCGACGTCTTTGAATGGCATTTCCAAGACATGTTGGGTTAACACAAATCTATTTTAGATGTCATGAAAGCCGTAGGGTCATTGAAGCTTTCTTTGTTCCCTGGTGTTTTAGAAATGCAATACAAAATTCCTCAAGTGCCTCTTTAAGAGCTGTTACATCCAGATTACAAGAAGCTTGTTTTCCCTCTCAGCTTTTAGTGGCTTCTTGATGATTTCTTACGGAGGAACAGTGAGAGCGGCTTTAAAGCTTTCAATGTTGCGGCCAGCGGAAACAAAACCAATGTGACGGCGGAGAGACGAATATTAGAAAGATTTGTGTAACACCTGAAAACCTGGAGAACTACAAGCATTTGTGTAACTAGATACCAGCAGAGGTAAGGCGGTCTGTGAATGTATTAAGTAGTTTTAAAAAGATCATTTATATGAGAGAATATGCTGTAAGTACAGTAAGTCACATGATCTTTCTTCTTCTCACCTTAACGTTGTAACTGGAACGTGTGTAAGTGGATTTTGATCACAGCTGCCATTTATATTCTGAGCTGTTTAAGTGACTCAAATTTGATTGTCAGCTGGTGTTTAATAGAAGACGGCAAAGAAAGGATCTGCACATCTGAATGGAGCTTTGTGTCTTCCTGTAAACCTGGAGCCCGCTTTCAACAAACTCAATGTTACTCTGAATTTCATCATGCGCTCGCGGATCTGCATTAAGCTTTGAGGAGAGACGTGCAGTCGAAGTACTAAACACATAAGTGACATTTATCCCCGGATTGCCTGCGTGAACAAGGTGTTAAGGACAGACGAATGCTTGATATTTGCGTAGTGACTTGACAGCTTCTTGTAGGCTGGAGGTGCACTGAAAGGAAAAAACCTTAAATGCAGAACTCCCAGACTCTGATGCATTTACCGCATCCAAAATGTTCTCTTAATGATCGCGGGGGGGAAGCTTAAAGCCCGTCTTCGGTTAAACCTTTATTTTTAATAATAACCTCTACATTTATTGTGTATTGTAGGAAGCTCAGGTTGGCTTTTCCCAAGAAGACTTCCTGTTCAGCAGTCTGTACTGGTGAACCGGTAACCTGCTCAGGATTTAATCATCACTGGCATTTGAAAAACATCAATGTAAATGTGCCACGGTTGGCTCAGCAGTGCATGTTGCACTTGTAGTTAAAAAATAAAACATTAAAGCTGAAGTCGACAGGAAAAAATGAGACATTTTAAAACATAAAAACACACATCGGTATATCAAAGTGAACCTATAAAGTTAAAAGCACATATCTGTTGGTCGCATGGGGTCGAGCTCTGGTTTGTTTTCCCACCCCGGCGTGGTTTGTTTGGGGAGACGTGGTGGTGGTCCCCCATCCAAGCTCAGTCAGACCCAACAGGTGTATGCAAAAGACCTTCCTGTAGCCAGTTGTGCAGGTATGCACGCATGCAGAGAAGACAAAGTGCAGCAACTGTCGGTAAAACTAATGGAAATCCTGCAACGGGCTGACTTTTTTCATGTGAACTATCTAATAATTTTCATTTCATTTTGACTTTATTTTGACTTCAGTTTAGTTGCAGTTAGTTTTCAGAGAAGTATTTCTTACTACACTTTGAAAATATTTTGTTTTTGTTTAGTTTTTATTAGTTTCAGTCTTTTATTATTTTAAGGAAAGTGTTTGTCAAAAAAAAAAAAAAAAAAACAGAACGAGAGAAACAAAACTTTTCAAAAGCTGTTGTCTCACAGTCTTGTAGACGCCCTGAGTTTCAGTAAACACATTCATCAATGCCTCGGCATTTTCACCAACTAACAGATGCTGAAGCTAAAAATAGTTCCTCTGTTTTTATTTTAGTTCACAAAATTGTTTCAGTTCATTTCTTGGGGCGATCGTGGCTCAAGAGTTGGCAGTTCGTCTTGTAATCGGAAGGTTGCCTGTTCGATCCCCGGCTCTGACGGTCTAGGTCGTTGTGTCCTTGGGCAAGACGCTTCACCCGTTGCCTACTGGTGGTGGTCAGAGGGCCCGGTGGCGCCAGTGTCCGGCAGCCTCGCCTCTGTCAGTGCGCCCCAGGGCGGCTGTGGCTACAATGTAGCTTACCATCACCAGTGTGTGAATGTGTGGATGACTGAATGTAGTGTAAAGCGCTATAAAAGTACAGGCCATTTACCATTTTAAAGGCCATTTCATTTTTTTTACAAACAGCTCACATCTTACCAGCATCCAGATCTGTTGATTTGTCTTAAAAATTAAAAAACAAAATCCTCCACTGTTCAGCTGTCATGAAGACAGGAAACCGCCATAGAAGTCTAAAGTATATGGAGCTGTAAATGTGCTTTTTGATACTGTTTAACATTGGATTCAATGGGGATTGTTTCAGTTTTGGGGTCAGCCTCAAGTGGCCATTAGTGGAACTGCGGCTTTTCTTAAACATACTCTTCCAGAGATCTGAACTTACCTCTGGCAGCTGCCGTCATTTTCGTGCTACTGACATGACCTTGAAATGAAAATGATGATTTGCTTTAAAGACTTCATGACCTACAGGAGGCATAAAAATCCATTAACAATATAAAACTTTCTCTGTTCTGTATATTTTGCTGTGACTGTGAAACGCTCATTTCGAACAGCTGAATCATGAATCTTCCCACCCCTCACCTTCTCCACCCGCAGGTGGTGCGGGCTTCCTCGCAAACCTTCGAGGGCATCCCAGAGGTCTGGGCCAAGATGGAGGCATACCGGGAGGCCGCGCTGGCCAGCGGTGAGCTGCAGGGCAGGCGGACGGCCCAGCAGAAGGTGTGGATGTGGAGTCTGATCCAGGAGAGCGTCCTGTGCCATTTCCAAAATCACCCCGGTGTCAGAGAAGCTCTACCCCACCTCGAGGAGAGGGTCACCAAAGGAGCCATCTCTCCAGGACTGGCTGCTGACCTGCTTCTCAGAGCCTTTTCTTCATCCTCTTCATCACAGTAATCACTGGGACTGCACTGTCAGATAAGGAACAGATCACTCACTGAAAAGGAGAGCGAGAAAATGACCTTGGCTCTGCGGTTTGCACAAAAAGACTCGATCTCTGCTCTTTTAACACACGATTTAAAAATTTAAATACGTGAGTGTCACCCCCCGTCTACAGAGGCTTCGCTTTCTGATTGCTTTCATCCAAGTCACAAGAGCAGGAAGAGCGCTGAAAGTCGTCATTTCTCGTCAGCGGCTCCGAGACGCACTCGCGTTTGGCAAAAATGAGATGCGTTGAGAGTCCGAGATGTGAAACGCGGAAGCGACCGTCTCTTTTGGACACTACGGACAAGTTTTAACGAGATCAGTGAAGGAGGATTCAAAGGTCGTGTGGTTGCAGTTGAAGAATAGTTTGAGCGGTATCTTTCACTATCATGAACGGCGTGTTACAGTAAAGCTGTGGCTCGTTCCTCACGATCAGTAATATCAGTAATAACAGCCTATTTGCGAGCCACAAAGCGTCAATGAAAGGATCGGGCTTGGGTAGAATCGATTTAGTTGGAGCTCCGTGTTTCTGCTGCTGAACTACTGAAGATGTTGCTCTAATAACAGGTTTTCCTCAGGAAAGCGTCGAGGCTTTGAATCTGTGTTTTTCTGTTTTTTGTTTGTTTTTTAATCCACTGTTTGGTTTCTATTAAAGAACAATTTGAATCTTAAGTGGACAAGTGAATTACATTAAATCTGCCGGCGCAGTTGGCCGAGCTCTTCTACCGCTGCGTGTTTGCTCACGATATGAAAAAGGGCCGAGTGATTAATGTTACCTCTACGAATATTAGCCCTGAGATTTGTCAGAGATTTAATGACATTTCTTTTCGGCTCTCCGGAGCCAGAAATGTCAGCGCTGGGCTTCGTCTGAATGACTCAGCTGTACGGTTGCTTCGAATTCAGGCAAAACACACTTTAATATTTCCAGAATTAAGTTCATACTGCGCTGCGCTCCCAGACACCACCGGAGGACTGAACACAAAGAGAAGTCACGCACTCATAACGCCGGTGCAGCTACTTTATTACTTTATTATTTAAAGAGGCTGCTGCAGCTGCTTTATTCAGGGACCCCGCAGCAGACGCCGGTGTCAGCGGCATATTCTTATACAGTCTAATCTATACACAGGGTATTTCCCACCTATTATGTACTCGTAGGCTGCACCTGTTATTTTTAGTGTCTGTTAATCCGTCAGCTATTTTTTTTCAATATATAAACTTATGTAAACGTACACATCATAATTTCCAGACTCCAAACTGACATCTGAAGACTGAAGGAAAGCCTGGCTGTGGCCTCCAGGTTTAGTCCAGGAGTCCTGTAGGGTTGTAAGTGTTCTTTAAACCAGAAGAAAATACGAGGTCACATAAAGTTCAAATCCAGTTTGTTGATTCGATTTTCTGAATTCGCACACTGGAGTATTGTCTTCAACTCACCGGGCGAGCAGGTGGCGTGGACGTCCAAGTGTGTGAATGCGATGACTCGATTTTCAAATTGATGCCATAAGTGCATCTACTAAAAATCTCAGATGTGTTCAAATCCCGGTGACCTCGATCTAAAGGTCAAGGTCAGAGGTCAAGTTTTCTGAAAGTCTAAAGAATCCCCTTTGTAACATTCTTGTCCCAGGTTGCCCTGTCTCCTTATCCTCTCTTTCTTCTTCTCTTCCTCTCCATCGCTACCCACCGGTTGTGGCAGATGGCTGCCTGTCCCTGAGCCTGCTTCTGTCAGATGTTTCCTCGCTCACGGGGAGTCGTGTGATTGTTGCGGTTTTTTCTCTAATACTGTAGAATCGTTAACTTACAGTGTAAAACCCCCTGAGCTCACTGAAAATGCCAATAAATGCTAAAACAAAAATATATCGATGAGATAGAAAAGGCTGTTTGGTTTCTGTAACATCATAGTCCAACAGTCGAGGCTGTCAGCACAATGATGTTGAAGAACTCCCTTGTGTTTGTCCCGTTGGTCTAATTATGAGATTGTGTACACGTGGCATTAAATTTGTGTAAACTTGCTGGTACTTCTGACACACAGTAAGTCACTTAAACTGGTATTGAGAGCTTATTACCTTTTGCATTGTGGGCTGGTTCTTAAATAGCACTTTTCTACTTGAGCACTAAAAGCAGTTTTTACAACACAAGCATTTTTTAGTACATCCAAGTCCTTTCTATCCAACATTCACACTCCGATGAACGCATCGGGATCATCATCTTGGCACGCAGACCTGGAGCAGCCAGGAGTTGAACCCCCGACCTTTCAATTAGTAGATGTCCTGCTCGACCTCCTGAACCACAGCCACTCTAAGCTCACAGCACCTGGTATTCCCAGGCGGTGCATCCGAGTACTAACCGGGCCCGACCCTTGCTCAGTGTCCGAGATCAGGTGTGCTCAAGGAGGTAGGATTGTAATCCTGCTGGAACAAGGTCCTGGGTTCAGATCCAACAGTTTTTCAGTGTGGAGTGTGGATGTTCCTCTCCGTGCCTGAGGGAGGTCTTTCCAGGTAATCAGGCTTCTTTTCCCAAAAAAGACAAGCATACGGAAGCTTGTTTCTGCCACTGGGCAGATAAAACAGGTCATCTATTAGTCAAAATTTCAACTCACCCAGAAGTTTGACTCATTAAGTCAACATTTTGCAATAATAACTTGAAATTTTCACTCAACTTTTTGTGGGAGAAACAAGACCCTGAATTGAATAAGTGATAAAAAAAAAAAGTGGTTAATTTGTTTAAACTTGTAGTTATTTCTTACTTACAGGATCAATAGAGGAGAAACGCTACAGGTGACTACAGAGAGAAAACTGTTTAGATCACCATGAAAATTTCCGGTCTGTCTAATGCTCTGTATTGCAAGTTTTATGAAAGTGTATTTTTGATGAGGCATTGTCACCCCTGTTATTGGCATAGTTTTGCAGATCATAAATCGAATTGGACAATGACTAAAGCCAAGGTCATTAGAGTCTTTATAAAATCTGTTTTTATCATTTGATAAACCAGAAAAATATGAATAAATGTTCATAAATCAGTGTCTGAATGCTGTATAAATAAAATCCATCTGTTTAAAAAAGGCAGCTTTAGAAATATAAACGAAGTTTCATGTAAGAGCTGAGTTGGAGATTTCTTGCTTGGAATAAACACAATTACTCTGAATGTGGCCTTTCAAGCTTGTAATGTCACGTCACTGAAAAACTAATATTTATGGTTTTCAAATAAAACGTATCACCATGGATATCATATGCAAATGAGATGTTCTCATTAAATATGCACACATTTGCATAAATGAGAAAAAGTACAATAAGCTCCTGAATTTGTATTTTAGATATTGTCTTTCTGCTAGTGTGGAAGAATCACTGTTATGTAACCAAAATGGCACATCTGACTTACTTATGCCTGAAATATCTCACCTTTAAAAGCCGGCTGGTGTAGTTTGAAGCAGTCACAAGATCAAGAAGGCGTGATTCATTTCCTCCAGGTCACTAAGAACTGGATTTGCTTTTATACACTATGTAAATAATCTTTATCGTACCATCAGTGCTCTGTAAATGTAAGTTTGTGCTTTCTTCAGCCACTAGAGGTCTCCCAAATCCCACTCAGCTGTGGGTTCATTATCCTAATGACTGAACCCTCAGTGCCAACCGCCCTCCCTTTCTTAGCGCCCCCGCCTCCTGCCCTCCATCCATTCTTCATCGAGGTTGCCTAGGGTGCCGGGTCACTCAGAGGTGAGGACATCAACAGCTGCCACTCTCCTCGAGGTCGAGCTCGAGGTACTGTAGACCCAGCTCTCTGTACACAACCATCCTCTGCTTTTTTTTCCCCTCTCTCTCTCAATCCTCACTGAAAAGCAGAAAGGAGCCAAGCTTGGTACAGTACAGAGCAGGAGGGCTGAGTGTGTGATTGTACAGCTTTCTCAACCTCCTCAAAGGAAAAAAACAGGGTGAATTCAGTGCTAATCTGTGCTTGTACTTTCTAGTCTGCTTTGGAAATACTGCGAAAGCCCCCACCAACCGCTGGACGGGCTCCCAGGTCGCTGCTCGTTTGCTCCCGCCTGCGTGTGAGAGGAAGAATGCCCCTTGAATGCAGATGGATTCATTAGGTCTGAGTAACACCCATCTCCTCCATCATGCTGACACAAACACATACACACTGTAACTGCTCTGGCTTTGCAAAAGGGAACAGTGAGTTCTGCAGCTCTGGACTCCCTCCACGCGCACACACACACACACACACATCCATGCATATACACACAGTTGTCTCCAGTGTAAACAACACCATGCGGTTTCACTAAGGAAGATTAACTCAAATGCTGCCGGATCATGTTCAGCCATCTTAGCCCAAACACAGGGCCCGTCCACATGTGTTTAGCATTTTGCCGGATCTCTTGAATGTAAGCAGAGGACAGAGACAGGCTCTTTGATGAGGTTTTCTTTTACTGGTTGTTTTTTTCATGTTTAATAGAGGAGGGGGGGCTTACATTCACAGCGTTTCATTGTGTCAGCAGTCTGAAGTCAAAATGCCTTCCTTGGTTAAAGAGCAAACTAAGAACTGTTGTGATTGTTGCCTAAAAACTCAGCTTAACCCCCTCCAAGAAAAAACCTCAGAGCCCGAATGCTGAAAAATGAGGCTACAACACATGTCAGTAAACAGAGCGGGTGTACTGTAGCGCAGAGAGGCACACATGTTTCTCCTCTTGTAGGATGCATCAGCGTAGTAGTTTGTTTTCTGCTCAGATCAGAGCGTGAGGGAAGCCTGACAGAGGGAAATGTCAGCCCTGCTACCAGCCACATTTTTGGAGATGTGTGTGTGTGTGTCTATGTGTAGTGTGACAGCCGGTCATGGGCTGCTGATCCACAAAGCCTCAGCCATCTCTTCTATGTTTGCTCTCCTCCTCACACACGAGCACATAACATCACACTCGCCCACCTTCCTCCTCCTCCCCCTCTCCATTCTCTCTTGTTTTATTTTTTTGTTTTCTTTTCTTCCCCTTCTTACACACACGAACATCCGTCCGGCTCACCGCTTACACATCTTGTACATACATACGAGCCATCCATCCATCCCCTGTCGCACACACTCGAGCTGACTGCCTCGTTGCCAACCCGGCCGCTCTGACTCGCCTGGCTGCACTGCTGTCCCTCTGTAGTGACAGATGAGTGTGTGTGAGAGAGAGAAAGAGAAGCATTTCCTCCAGGCTCGGGACTCGACTTTTGAGACAGCCACAAAAACGATGCGAGGAGCCCCCTCGCTTCCCCCGCTTTGCTTGCAGATGTAGCACCCCACTCATTATGCTGCTCCGGTGGGTCACTGTGCAGCCTCTTCATAAGAAGACCCTCATGGCGACACGTCTTATTATATCAGCTGCTGAGATGGATGTTAATGCTGGGCTGCGCTGGGCGTGCTCTCCAGCCTGTGGAGTGATGAGACGTGGTGGTTTGGTATTCAAAGTGCATCTCATTGCATGGGCTAATTCTATTTAACCTGGTGAAGTCTGCCGGCTGGCACGGTCAGAATGCCCCAGGGAGAGACCACTGTGTACCTCTGCTTTATTACGCACCTGAGGAGGCTCGCTCTCCCACACGCTCCTCTGTTTGCTATGTGTAATTTACTGGGCAGCCTGTGGGCTAAGGCCTTCATCTGCAGGAAGGCGCGAATAGAGCCTTGGCGCCAGTAATTGGACTTTAGAACTGATTGGGGAACTTGATTGACCCCCGGTAATGGATTTGAGTGAATAATTATTTGT